GCCTCTTGGATCAAGCATCCACCTTATCTGAGCCACCTGTGCATTGCCTTTTTAAAAAAGAAAAAAAAGCCTATGCAAGACTATACCAAAAATGCATGTATTATAAATATATTAATTATAGAAGAGTCAAGCCACATGTGACACTATATTTCTGCAGCTTAATTTTAGAAGTACTAATCCATCAGTAGTCTTATATGGTCATATCCTGTGTGTGTGTGTGTGTGTGTGTGTGTGTGCACGCGCACATGCTTATGTGCTGATTACTTTAGGAAACTGTGGCCGTGTGTGTGTATAACATGCTATATTGCATATAGCATGTGCAAATTGCTCATGCAATTTTTTGCTCATGCGATTTTTTAAAAACCCTCGCTATTCATCAAGGTGTAAGATAATAATTAGAAAACATCAGTGTGGAAAAGTTCAACATCAAGAGTTTCAGAAAATTGTCTCTCTACAAACAAGCAGCATCAATATTTTGCTAATTACAGAAGCCAGTGGAAAGGCTTAAATGACGCCCACCTCTTTGTGGTTGCTAACAAAAAAGCCATTTCCCTGAGCTGTAATCTAAGTGAAAGGGTGTAGTATAGAGATATCTATTCTACAGACACTGTTCTGTTCCCATGGAAGTTATATCGGAGTAGCTGATGGCCTCACACAAGAACACCACATTTTAAAATACTGGAGCAAGTGAAAAAATGTTCAAAAGTCAGTCCCCTGGGTGGTGTACAACATTAAAAACACATTACAGAACATCAATGATTAAAAAACATAATGACAGACACCCTAATAAAAACAGTCATCATAATAACAGTCTATTTTCCCACACTTTAATAGGCAATAGATTACTAGCCACAGACCTGGGTAAAAAGGAATGTTTTTGCCTGGTGTCTCAATACATGTAGTGATGGCACCACACGAGCCTCTCTTGGGAGAGCATTCCACAATTGGGAGCCACCACAAAAAAGGCCTGTTCTCTTTTGGCCACCCTCCGGACCTCTCTGGGATGGGGGACATAGAGAAGCACTTCAAGTGACAAGCGCAGGGTCTGGGTCAGTTCATTCACAACTGTACTCTGTAAAGGAGGACACATGGCCATCCTAGGGCTGAGTGTGTGTTGCAGAGTATATGAAAAGGGATATGGCTTATGCTTAGCATAGTCTGGGACAAGATCTTTCTCAAATGCAGCAAGATGAATTTGGGAGTGCCCAGTAGTGGACAGTGTGGTGAGGATAGAGGTGCTTACCTGACCTTCCAGCAGGAGAGCTGCCGCTGCTTACTGGGTGTGTGTGTGTGTGTACAAAAATGCCCCACCATACCAATTCACTACAAGGAATAACAGGAGTTTGGTCCCAATGCTCAGGTCTTTATCTGACCTGTGTCTTGGTGGGCTAGCTCAGAAAAGTGCACAGCTTTCTAGAACGCCCCTTGAGGCCTTTCAGAAAGCTCTACCCACACACTCGCTTGGATGAAAAGCAGAGAAGCAATCATTTTCATCCAATTTTCTTAACTGCTTGACACAAGGTTTGATGGGAGGGGGAGTTGCTGTGATCTACGGTATATGATTTCTCTCTCTCTCTCTCTCTCTCTCTCTCTCTCTCTCTCTCTCTCTCTCCAGACTCTCTGTCCAGTTGTGGGGGTAGCATGTTTCTTCCTGGCACTGGGTAATTGTGACAGATTAGAGATTCTGCTGGTTTACCGCCTGCCTCACTAAAAAGCACTCTCCCTCCCTGCCTGAGCTCACATAGTTGGTTTCAGAGGTGGTGTTGAGGAATCTCTGATTGCTTGTGTTGAGGGCATTCAATGGCCATACCAAGGCGAAAAGCTGTTGCTCAATGTTAAAAAGGTAAAGGTAAAGGACCCCTGACAGTTAAGCCCAGTTGTAGATGACTCTGGGGTTGCAGCACTCATCTCGCTTTACAGGTCAAGGGAGCCAGCGTTTGTCCACAGACAATTTTTCCAGGTCATGTGGCCAGCACGAGTAAGCCGCTTCTGGTGAAACCAGAGCAGTGCATGGAAACACCGTTTACCTACCCGCTGGAGCGGTACCTATTTATCTACTTGCATTTTTGATGTGCTTTCGAACTGCTAGGTTGGCAGGAGCTGGGAGCTCACCCCGTTGCAGGGATTTGAACCGCTGACCTTCTGATTGGCAAGCCCAAGAGGCCCAGTGGTTTAGACCAGAGTGCCACCCGCATTCCTTTCTCAATGTTCTGATTTTATTTTATTTCTTAACAGAATATAGCCAAGGCAAATGAATTGCCTTACACTGGGATGTGCATTCGAATCAACATTCCACTGAAGGTAAATAATGCAATGCAAATGAACTATACCCACATTTGTATCTGACTGTACATCTAAACATGAATGTTTTTCCTCTGCACTGCATTGCTTTCAATAAGATGTGGTTCCTCTGCATGACATCTCAATGGTACAAACATTTGTATGTGTATCCCAATGTAAAGAAGCACCAGCCTAATTTCCTTAGTAATGGGGATAATGGCAACATGCCATACAGAAGCAGATGTGGAAACAAAGTCTTTTGTGTGTGTGGAATATACAAATGAATGGAAGCGTCAGGCAGGGGCTGCAGACAGTTTTACTCTTCCCAACATGCCAAGTTTTGCAACAAAAACATTTTGAAAAATGAGCTAAAGCAGATACTCATCAACTAGCAAGGAAGCAGAAATTGGATATAATTCCTCTAGTGAAGAAACCCTCTGGGAAATTAGCTAATAGTGTAGAAGATATAAAAATGATTATTTTGTTTTTCAGCCACTTATATCAAACTGAGAGACCTCAGGATGTGACACATTATTATTATTTTTTTAACGAACTGCAGATCCCCAAAGTTTAGATTTAAGATAATTGAGGAACTAAATGCTGCAATTTCCCACAGGAATTCATAAATCAGATTAAGAATCTTCAGAATAAAAGACACCTGATTTTGATCATTTCGCAGCTGAATTCTACCAAAATTATGCATAAGTATCGAGCACTTATTTAGGTGAATTTGTTTAATTACCACATTGACAACAGGGGTTCTGGAACTCAGCAGGAACACCTCCCTCCTTCTCTTTAGAATGACAATGGCACCCACCTGAAAGGTGCTAGAACTGAGTTGCAGTGAGTAACCCCCCCCCCCAAGAAAAAGCCCTGCCACAGGCTGACATTGCTGGAATTTCACAAGGGATTATATTTTATCCAATAGCCAATACACACTGAATGGGTTAGAAGAAAACTGACATCCAGTAGGAAGAAATACACAGAGACCTATGTCTTCTAAATAGGGTCTTCTAATAAAAGTGCAATTTGATATTATACTCCATAACCAGAAAACCATTACGGAAATGCTTCAAATAATACAGCATCTCTCACATATATATCTTATCTAAATCTTACATAATGGTTCCAGATGTTTTCATCAACTGTGGATAATTAATGAGGGTAAATCACCCCAGTCACATCCTTCTCACCACTTCATTGTTTGCCTCATATTGTCCTGTGTCCATCGTATGTTGAATAAAATCCCACCACACAGTGCTAAAATCTTGCTGCTGCGCTTTTCCTTGTATCAAACATTTGGAGACAGTGGTTTGTTTCCCCCCCTGATAGTGCTCTATAACACATCTTTCCATAACAATTATTTTTGTTTTTCTATCTGCCACCAATAAATGTGTTATCAAATCCTTAGAACTTATATTATTATTAGATGCATTCTAAATAAGAGTTGTTACTGATCTTTTATGTATTGAAGCTTAGAAGGATGATTTCAAAATAATAGGGTTTCCTCATAGCATAGCACCTCCAAAGACCATAGCACCAAGGCACACCATGAAATCCAGAGGCTTAGGTAAATAGTCTATGTCTTTAAAGACGAGGCAGGCCTGGCCCAAGACATTTCATCACTTGAGACAGACTCCCAAATAGTATTCCCCCTCCTTGTCAGGGAATAAGTGGGTCAGGAAAGATCTACATCAGAATTAGGGGGTTGAGGAAGAAAGGTCAACATCTGCATAGCTGCCCAGGTAGACCTTGCCACCTGAGGCAGTTGTCTCACCTTGCCTCATAGATTGCCCAGTCCTGGGCCTAGGGTTGGGTTTTTGTCTGTGCATTTTTAAAAATTATTATTTGATTATTATTTGCAGGAGAACACCAAATATTTTCAAAACTTAACAATTTCTAGAAAAGCCTTCTTTCATACACTTCTCCATGCCAAAGCAAACACAAACTTCAACCAGGAAATGTAGACCGGCAACCATTACAAAACTTCAGAATCAAATGCCTCACAACTGCAGAGCAACAAATATCAACATTATCATGCCAAACATTTTCTGAAACAAGCAAGCTGTTTTCTAAATCAAATAAGCAAAACAAAACTCTGCTATGAATGACCACAAGTTTCACTCTCTACTAAGTTTGGAATAATTCCATTGTTTTCAGATGTGGTGTTCTTGTGCAAATGATTTTAACTCTTTTATCCCCCCCCCCCGGGGAAAGAGATTTATGAAAATCTGAACTCAGAATAGAAACTGCACATCATAGTAGTAGTAGTGGTATCTTTTTTAAAAAAAAAATCTGAATTACTCCCCGCTCCTACTGGAAAAGCACATTAATCAGTGCCTAGAAAACACACCAACTTTTGAATGCATATTCAGGAGTCTACGCATATCCATCAAGTTCTCCAGAATTCAGAAAACATCATGTACAATAAACCAAATCCTTATAAAGATAAAGGTGAAACAAACATGCAAGGGTTTGAATAAATACCAGTCTAGTCCACTCACTGAAAACAATTTTTTACCATGTTATTCAAGTATATTGTAGTACAGATATGACCAAGACAGGTAACTCCAATAAACAAAATATAATCCTTCAAATTTGGGATTCAGGTCAATCCACAGGAAAAACAGGCTCACCAACCACTCTGTATACATCCTCAAAACATTTTTTCCCCCCAACTTTCTTCAATAGATCATTAAAAAATAGTTATTGAACCCTACCTTCATATATCACCTTGAATCCTTGAGCACTCACAGCGAAGTCTGTAGTGAAGCAGAGAGTCATAATTGATCCTGTGCTCACTATGGAGGATGGCAGCTGAAATCCAGAAAGCCTGCAAGATGCAAGGGACAAAAAGAAACCACAGTATTTGTTATTAATTGTAACAACAACAATAACAACAACAACAGCAACAAAACTCCCAAAGAGCATCATTTAAATGTTTATATTGGCAGCCTCTTCTCTGATGAATATCTGAAGACTTGAAAAAGCATCCACTGATATTTCTAAATCTTTTGAAAACTTTTTAATAGCACACTTCACATCTGAGCTGGGGGGGGGGCACCCTTCATCCTGACTATAATTAAAGAGGACTTAAGCTCTGCTCTGCTCTCTTCCCAGCAGGGAGGTCTACGTGTGTGTCTATGCGTGTAAATTAATGTTGGCCTGAGTGTACTACAGGTTTGGATACTAACCTTGGAAATGATTTGGGGGATGGAGCCAACATCTCTCCCCAAACAATTAATCATGGTTTGTTTTTTACTTTTCACAACTGCCCATAGCCACTGTTCTTTGGTTTGCTGGCTGTGCTGCTGTTTGGATAGTGTTTTTGCATTTTCATTCCTTCTTGAGCGAACCCAGGCAGTCGAAGCTCCCTATTCTCAAAGTGACACTGTCAAATGTTTAGCTTTGTGCCAAAGCACATGAAACCCATTGCTCTGAAAGCAGCACTTCTTGCACTTGAATATGACCAGCTGGTATATAAAATAATGCCAGAAAAAAAGTGGCAAAAATGTTGTTGTGAGTTGATAGGAGGGGGCGGTTATGCTGTATGTCTGAGTCCCTTTGAATTCTTGGCTCTGGCAAGGATTCAAATTGCTGGAATAGCCAGACAAGTTTCTTGGTAATGGCCCTCTAAGTATGGGCCACTAAACATAACAAAGGAAGTGGCTCTGTGCCAGATAAAAATGGGCGGGCCTCCCTCCCACAACTCACTGGTGGTTAGAAAGACAAAGGCAAGAGTTGAGCTGTGTGTGAACTAGAAGTGAGAAGCTGCAGGCTGGGCAGCTGAGAGGAAGAACCATGCCTGATTTCTGCTGGAATCCAAGGCTGTGGTTATGGGAGAAGCAAGAACCTCTTGGGATGTTAATGCTGTGAGCCCCTCCGTCATAGGGTCAGGTTGCATATATGTGTAAATAAACCATATATCCTAAATACACCTTTCTGAGGAAACTGAACCCTGATAAGTTGTGAGGATGCCCATAGGCCCCATAGTATGTGGAACTGCCTTGCATAGACTATTTTAGGTAGCTTCTCCATTGTGGCATATTGTGAAACTGTCCCTAATCCAGGAGTTTTATCTAGACAGGAAAAACCAAGCAAGAAAACTATCTCTATTTGAATGCACAGTGCAAGGTGACAATAGAACTAAATATGAAGGCTTTAAAATATTCATGTTCAAATAGTTTTTCTTTGCTTACTTTTCCTTCAAAGGTCTTAATAAACTGTGAAGCTAGAAATAGGTGGTATTAGTGAAAACATAATTGCCCATTTTTTTAGATTAAGCTGTTGGTGCAGTTGCTGCTGTGATTCTGAAACACATGGGAGATTCTGCGCATGGTAACCTGCTCATATGGAAAGATGCCCACACAGTCTGTGTAGGTAAGCATGTACAAACGCACCCATGTGGTTAATGTCAACTGTGTCATAGAATTGCAGAGTTGGATAGGCCATTTCATCCAACCTGCTGCACTGCAGAAATCACAGTTACAGAATATCTAACAGATGGCCAGGCAAAACCAGTTAAGGAGGTTTCATGAGCATTAGAGTGGTAAAAGAAATATTATTATGTAGATCAGTGTTTCCCAACCTTGGGCCTCCAGCTGTTTTTGGACTACAACTCCCATCATCCCTAGCTAGCAAGTCCAGTGGTCAGGGATGATGGGAATTGTAGTTCAAAAACAGCTGGAGGCCCAAGGTTGGGAAACACTGATGTAGATCATGTGGCAAGTCCTGTTATGTATTCAGTGGTTTGTGTTTGCCTGAGCTTGAGTCTGGACTAAAGATTCTGAGCCAGTGTTCTGATTCAATACATGATATCCAATCACAGAACAATTAAGGATTTGGGCCTCTGTCATTGGCCCTTAAACTCTGAGTTATGATTCACAGCTTGAAAGTTTAGATAGCCAATCATGTTGGGAGTGGGAGTGGCCCAGGCCTTCAGAAATGTATATAAGCAGTTGCTTCGCCTCTGTTGTCTAGTTCTGTTAGTTCAATAAAGGTCGTTGCTGTTCAATAAAGGTGTCTTGCCTCGTGGGAACCGACCTACACAGACAACAGCATTCCCAAATCAAAAGGTATGCAACCTCTAGCAAAGGAGAATTAATTCTCAAAGACTGCAGATCTATGCACATTTAGCAGTGAGTAATTTCCATTTAACATAAAAGGACCTTACTTCTGACTGGATAGGCATGCAGTCCTGTCACCAACAATGGTTTATTCCATTAAATATCCGCATGTATGTTCCAGAAATCTTTTGAACTATAATTGTTAGCAAATTCTTCAAAAACTGTAGTTTACAGAAAGTTGTATCCCATGTTTTCCATGCATAAGCAGAACATATTTCAGCTTGCATAACAAGATTTCTCATTCCTCTCCTCACCCCTGCAGTCCCCCATGTGCCCCATGGGTAGCAGCGGAAAGTGAAGTTGGGTCACACAACACTGGATTCTCCACAGAAGTATACACTGCTAGAGAGAAAAGCCCATGTATATCAACTCCATGTGAAAATGAAATTATGACTTCCCAACAGTGTGCGCGTAGCAAAGAAGGCACCTGTATGATTTTCAAACATTGCTGGCAAACTGTGATACTAGTGCACACCTGTACAAAGAAAAGTTGTAGGACAAGTAGCCTTAAAGCAGGCATCCCCAAACTCTGCCTTCCAGCTGTTTTGGGACTACAACTCCCATCATCCCTAGCTAACAGGACCAATGGTCAGAGATGATGGGAATTGTAACCCAGAAACATCTGGAGGGTCATGTTTGGGGATGCCTGCCTTAAAGAATAGGCTTGAGTCATAACTATAGACTATAGCATTAACATAGTAAACTACCATTACAAAAGACCATAGGAGCCAACTACTAGGGGCTGAAGGCTCCTACAAATTTGATGGGTATTGCCATTCAAATGGGGTGTGTGTGTGTGTGTGTTGTGATTGATTATGCAGGTTGGGGCTTACCCGAGTCGGACCCCCCCCCCCAGGTATTTGAATTCAACTCGGCACCCCTGCCAAAGTCTGAATCCTTTTGTCTTCTTTGTTGTGATATCAGGCCTTTAATGACCAGATGTTTTGTTTGTGCTCAAAGGCACATCCCAACGGACCTCAAAGTTCATTATCAGTAACATTGACTACAAATTCTCAAAGCAGTCTATTATTTTTCTATCCATGTAACTTGATTATTTTTGAAGAGACAGCAGCTGGCTAATATTGAGAGGTGTATAATTTTTTAATATCTATTGACTTGATATATTTCGTACACACACATGCTACACTAAATTTCAGGATGTATTTATGCAGTGCCATGGTGACTATATCTTGATCTTATATTGTTTTAGTAAATATTTCCACCTCTAGGATGACGTCTGCCGTTGAGACCTGTATTATTGACAAACGACAGCCAATATGTCTGCTTCATCTGATTTCAAGGAATATTGAAGTTGTTTTGACACAAACTACTTTTTTTCTGAAGTGTGTATACTTCAAATGCTATGTGACTGCTTGAAGGGTAGTTCCTGTACACTACCTTTTGAAAGTTGGCAGTAAAAATTTTAAGAAATGGTAGCCAATGAAAATGAGACAAACATTGAGTTAAACAAATAATCTACAAAATGTATCCAGTTTCAATGAAAGCAAAGCAAAAACAGCACTGAGTATCTAAAATAATGGGATAAACATACCAAAAGAAACCTGTTGCACACCTCCATTCTGAAAGCATTTTGCACCTCATTCAGTTGTATTTCTTCTGGAAAACTCCTTTTATAGGTGCTCTTTATAGAACCGTGTCTTGTTTCTAACACCAATTATCAGTTTATTTTCCGTATTTGGGTACACTTAGCCAAGTCCAAAGTATGTATGTATCATATAATATATGCCCTTCCATAATCTCACTTAATTCTTTCAGGTGTGAGTACAGGCCATAACCTTTCTCTGTTTCCAAATGTGATTATGAAACTATAAAGCAGTGGTCTAATGAAGTGATCCAGTCAAAAATCTAGCAGTGGAAGAAATGAGCATGTGGTCTCTTTAAAGACATGAGAAATAAAAAATGATCAGCCTAGCTATATTGTGCTTAATGGGTTTTTTTAACCCATTATTATCCATGAGAATGCAAACTCCAGCTTTAGCCTTTCACCTCTACCTTATTTTTTAGAGTAAACGTTTTTTAAAAAAATAAGTGAATAAACTTTTGTTGGAAATGAAGTTATTTTATTTGGAGTTTGATAGTTCAAATAGGAAGAAAGATACTGTCATATATATCCTGGAGAAAATATATTTTCTTGGAAAGACTCCTCTGTCATATTAACATCCATAATCATTCAATTATTTAACCTTATTAGAAAGGTGAATTTATTCATAAGGCAGGGAACATTAATTCCATCTTCCATTGTGATAGAAGACATTTTATTCAAACCTTAATTTAAATTGTCACCCAATATTGTCAGGTCACCTAGCATAATTGAAGGATTGCATTTTGAAAATATCTGAAATTCTACATAGTATTTTAGTTATCTCTGTCTTAGGAGCACAGATACATCCTTCTCAAAAGCAGGTAATATTATGATTACAGCTACTGTACTCACTTTCAAAAGCTCTCAATTTCAATTAAAACCTTTGTAGATGCTGGTTTAGCTTCTCAAAGCTCCTCTCATATTAGATCAGAAAATTCTTCCAGAAAAAAATATGCAAGAACTCAGGTAATTTTTCAAATGGCTTATCAGTTCATATGGGGGCGAATGGGGGATACTGCTGGAGCAAATCAAAGGGAAGCAGTCAAAAAAATAATTTACTCACACCTTTGGAACAAATAAATTTTTTTAATCAGTATTTAAAAC